ATTCACATGCTCAAATACCCACGCAAGTCAATATGTCGATAAAAGGAGGTGTGTGTGGGGACTGTGTGTAGTTGTGGGATTCATTTGTCTTCTTACCTGACAAAGAAAGAAGTTTGATCAAAAGATTAAATGAGTAGTCGCCATGATCTTAGAAATAAATAAGTCATTTACAATTGCAATTTACCTTGTTACTGGGCATGTGAACACCTTTGGACCTTTAAGATCAGCTGGTTTAAAAAAAAAATGCTAAAATTGTATTTTCCAAAGAACACACTGGGTGTCTTTGATGGATCCCAATCATGAGACAGGTCTCTGAAGACTAGTTCGGTCAAGAAGTCAATCTGCTTCATCAGTGGATATTCATATGGACCAAATGCAGCCTAATGGAGCTTGTTGGACGCTCTTCCCCTGCTCGCATCGATCGACAGCGTGTGAGCTTGTTGGGTGGGGAGCTGTTCGTTGGCTATTGCAGTGGTATGTGTGTGCATTATAGCTTTGGCAAGTACAACAAACCCGAGGGGAAAACAAGCAAGCGCTCTCACCTTTCTTCAACCTCCACCCGATTAAAGGGAATGAAAAATCCATGAGTGCTCATTAGATAGGTTTACAGGTTGCTAATGAACTGATATTTAAAACTTGTCACTTGTCGTGTCTCTCCCTTTCGCTCCAGTTTTCTTTCTTTTTTTTCCTGTCTTTGGCTGCCCTCCAGGACAGAGCTCCAGCAGGTCTGCAGGGGTGCCAGTATTGCTCTGTATCAGCAAAATGTCAGCCAGGAACATGCACACACACACTGGATCCAGGCTACATATCCCCAGCGCCTATTTCCATCAAATGGAAGGACACATTCAAGATGTACGACCTTAATTTGACTCTGGTAATATAGGTTTATAATAGGGTATGCTGTATAACTGGAATGAACTATTTCACTTGTGTCTGTAACTGTGCATAGTAGCTGTTCAACCTCTTATGGCCTCAGTTTGGTGTGAAACGTTATAATAGTTGTCCTCATTAAAAATCACCTCACCTTTTTAACCACTGTGTGATAAAAAGGGCAATTTCACCACAAGTCAATGCCTCGTCTTTCATACCGGTCGCACCTCTGTGGGCAAAAGCTGCGTCAGGTAGATTGCCTGCAGACCATAACCGCTCTAGTTGCAGTCCAGGAAATATTACCTCAGTAATCTGCAGCAGGAGGCATTTCAGCAGGAAATGGCTCCCTGTGCTGGGTTGTATATATGTTCGGGGCTGAGTTGAGCTCATAATTCAATGCAGTCATTGGCACTTTTCATCCTCTGTCTGCTGGGGCAGGGTACTGGCTAAATGACAGTGAAAGCCACAGTGGCACTTCTGCCATTGCTTTACGACTGGCAGAGACCCCGGGGCACCATGACTGGAGTGCTAAGCGAGAACATGGCTGCCAATCACTTGATATTAATCTCCCTATGATCATGAGAGACAGCCGACATGAGGTGGGAGGGGAGGAGGCAAACCTGGGGTGGGGAGGAGCGGGACGTGGACCCAGCTGGTGCGTGGCCAACAGAAATTAGCTGTGTGCTCCCATCAGAGCGTTCAAATGCCTCACGCTCACCTGCACACGCACACAAACTCAGAGCCACCTACACAAAGGCAGTGAAGGTCAGCTGTGCTCAGCCTCTTCTGTACCGTACCACATAATACGACCAGACAGGAAAGCTCAGTGCATTTCACCTTGATGGATTCCTTGGAGTGCTATGTTTTAAATCTCATTGCCTCAATATACTGTATAAAAAGTCCAGAGTAAATACATCAGCGACCAAACTGAGAGGTCACAGGTGAAACTAGCACAAAGCCTCTAAGGTAGTTAGTGTTCATGCCATAAATATACTATTTTTACCCCTAATTTTGTCATACAGTTGTTTTAATAAGACAAATTTAAGATTACATGACAAAAAATAACGATTATTCTAATAACTCACTTTAATGGGCTTTTTCAACAACTTAGTATGTTATAACTGGATCACGCTCAAGGGAGCGTTTACAGACAATTACACTATATTCCCAAAAGGATTCACTCAAGCATCCAAATCATTCAGTTCAGGTGTTCCAATCTGTGCAGTCTTACTGAACAAAATCATAAAATCAAGCACCTAGGCATGCAGGCTGCTCAATCAATTCCAGTGTGCTGCCTTGGTAGGATGCCACCTCTGCGCATAAAATCCAGCTGTAAAAATACCTCAAAGTCAATGTTAGTGGTCTTACAACAAAGTAGAATCGACTGGAAATGACAGTAAGTCACTTACAAAGTGGTAGACCATGTAAAATCACAGAGCAGGCTGTGGTTACCGACTTTCTGCATTGTCAGTCGTTACAGACCTCCAAACTTCCTCAAACTTTGTCTTCCGAGAAGAGCTAAAGCTTTTACAACTGCAAAGAGTGAACCAACATTAAGCCGTATGGATTAAGAATGGGATGTCACTCAAGTACATATATATTTGAGTAGGCAGACGAGCAAATACCTTTGGCTTTATAGTTTAACTCCAATGGTTTGAGTAACTTTATTTTTGGGATCATTTTTTACTGCATCACTAAGCTTTCTGCTGAGCTACAGCTGGCAGGCAGCCACACTGAAAGTATTCTGCAAGATATCTTGGTGAAGATGGAAATTAACGACTCCCTCGGTGATTGCTGTTTGTCCAGACCCAGAAGTAGTTCTGTTTTTTTAGATAAATGCTGCTGCGTGATATCCAAGGTCAAGATCCTCTTTTGGCTAAATCAGCTGAGCTTAGTCTTGAAGGTAAGTCTTCAAAGATCTCTTTCTCCTTTTTTGAGGCGCACATCAGGAGACACATTTTCTAATGTAATATAAATATAAACCCTTGTCTAGGTGATTAAAATCCCTGATTCCCAGAGACAGTGCTGAGGACATGACCTCTGTGCCTTCAGCGGTAGCTATGATCCTCTGATGGTCATGTGGCTTCATGTCCCAGTGGTAATCCACACACAGACTTTTGATTAAAAAAAAAAACAAACCCTGCTCAAGTTGGTTATTGTAAGACAAAAATTGTTTAGTTATGTTCTTAGCAAGCTTCACTCTCGTTTTTGTGTTGTTATTGTTGTTGTTGTATGCTTCCTGTACTTTTATAATACTCTGTTGCTGGAGTATAAGCTGTGTCTTTGTTTAAAGTGAATAAAGAACCTGCACATTAAAAAAAGGAAGATTCAGCTTATTTAAGCTGCTTATTCAGCCTCTGTACATTCCCTGTCTGATGGAGTGCGGAGCTGCTCCCACTTTGTCACGTTTAGTTCAGACTGATGGTTATTTTGTGTGATATATAAAATGAGATTTCTAATAGACCCCCTTGTTTGTGCTTCTGTGTGACTGCTTTGAATGTTTGGTGTGGGCCACTGAGATGTTTGTGTAGCAAGTGAAGACTAAAGTAAAATGGACAGAATGTTAAGACGTAGTTTTCACTTCATAGAAAAGGATGACTGACACAAAACTAGAAACTCCAGTTGAACACTTTGTCATACACTGTTAACGCCCTGTAATCATGGCATGTTTGTTGTCAGAGCAAAGGTGTTGACCTTAATGTGACACAGCCAGTGATCGCGAGTAATGAGGATGTGAGTTAAAATTAGAGGGTGTATTCATCTGATGAAGGCTTTGTTCACTTTCTCAGGTTGTTGCTGGCTGTACAGTTCTCTCAGTTCCCATCTCTTCTTCTGAAACCTCTTATAAAAGGAATTAACTTTTTCGGTTATAGATCTATTAAAAACAATATACATACTGCTCAATTATAGTTTTTTTTTTTTAAATTATATTCACCAAGACACTTTCACTTTGCTAATTATCTGTTGTAGCCTATATAAGTATATATAAGTTATTAAGGAATGTAAAGTATTCTTTTTCAAAATGAGTAAAAAATAATCAAGAAGATTATTCTAGAGTCATGTGGCAGCCCAGACACAGTTTGGCAGAAAGAAACAGCCAATGCAAAGTTCATCTAAATGTCAGAGAAGAAGATGAACTGCCAGATACACATTTTTCATGACTTTCAAACAAAGGCCAAACTGTTTCATTATATTCTTACACAAATAAGTAACAGAAACATTGCGATATGCAGTTTATTTAAGACTTGTATTTGTAAATTTAAGTCGTATTGTTGCTTATTGTAACTTATAAACAAATAAATTATTAAGTATGAAATTGCCATTGGTTTCTCCTAATTGTGAATTATAATTCCTTTATGGTTTTCTTGTTTAAAAACAGCCTGGAAAAGAAGAAGAAGAAGAAGAAGAAGAAGAAGGAGCATGATCTCTCTCAGACAGTCATATGACAGTCCAGTCACCCAGTCACAATTTGGTGGTTCCTTTAATGGTCACTTTGGCTCTATTGGTGATTGAAAGTCATTTTACTAGACCAAGAAAATATAACAAAGAGGGTGAAATGCTCCACAAACTTGTTTTATAAAGTTAGAGCAGAGGTAAAATCAATGAACTGATTATAACCATATAATTTTGGCTTGACTTTATTTAAGATACAGTGGTTTAATTTAACTTGATTGCTTTTAAACTCTTTTTGCTATTTAATATCTATTATTATTATTGAAACTGTGCTGTTACTTACTGCGCATACATTTCTTATGAAGTAAGATAATAACAACTATTTATAATTTGCGCCTCGTCTCCCTTAAGTGTAACATTAATAATTATAATATTTAATTATTTGCCTACAGCAAATATTTACAAACAGCCTGAGGGGAAAAAAGAACGTGAACTCCTCAGACAATCATATGACCGACCAGACACCATTTGGCGGAAAGAAACGTCAGCGCTTTCATTGGTGTACTGCGCACTTTACGTAGACTTAAGGACCACCCCCACGAACTCCACGTAAAGTTCTCAGCAGGCGTTGGTGAATGAGCTGGTCTCTCGTGCGTTCACGTAAAGCTGGACGACTTTTTTTTTTTTTTGGTAACGAGCGGAGAGGAGATGCACACGGCACTCGAGTGAGGTAACTATATAAAAAAACCCATTTGTTATCATTCACTCCCACAACATGGACCCGGGCAGCGTTATCCACGGCTCGTGGATTTTGTTCGCCGCTGTTGCGAACATTTGAAACGAAACATAACACCGTTCTTTATATCGTTGGTCTTTCTAGACTGTGAGCTAATTTCCTGTGAGTCGTCTGCTAGCTTATGTTAGCTGGTTGGATTGTTGTCTTCCTTTCCAGGCTAGCGTTAGCCTTCCGAGAACGGGCTGACTGTGGAGTGAGGGGCTTTGAAATAGTACCTCTGAGGTATTCCGGTGTTTTGAACATAAGCGACTACTTCAAGTGTTCATTTTTGTGCCTTTTAACGCTGTCGTGTTGAAATCACGTCTCAAGGACGCGGAAGTGTAGCACGCTTAGTCTGATATTCGAACCACGTGCGGATTTCAGCCCTCCCTCTGATCAGTTTATTGACGAGTGATTGGCGGTTTTACTGCGATTCCTCAACAGCAGACGGTTCTGCCTAGTCTAACTTGTGTGACTGGTCTGTTTCTGATTTTTATTGAACTTGTAGACATTACACGGCTTTCACCCACCTTGCTGAACACTGCATGCGTGGGGAGCTGCCAATGTGGAGCGACTGCATTTGGTGATATGCAAATATGGCATTCAAACAGTACCCTCCCTCTCTATAAATATTCACTCCATTATACTAAATTCCTGAGCATCACCACAAAGTCTTTTTATAAGCTCTTAATTGAAATCAGCATCGTCAAAGTGATCCGGGTGAAATGTCCGCGCATTTGTTCATTTTCTCATCGTCTGTCTCGTTGAATCAGTGATCCCCTTTTCAGCGTCCAACATTTATTTTCCTCCTGTTGCCAGCAGAGTTTACTGACCCGCGTAAAACTAATTTAAGTTAATCTGTACTACTATAACGATTGGATATTTGTTTTAAAAAAACTAAATGTTCAAAGTAACTAATAGCTAAAGCTCAAAATGGATGCGGTGGAGTAAACGCCCCCCCTTTACTTTTCTTGCAGTGCTGATTTTATTGCAATTGCAACTGCCATGTTTGACCGTCTTGATTAACAGCCAGCTTGAGTAAAATATTGCGTGCGTGTGTTTCCTCTACATTCGGTCCAGCGGCAGTGCTTTAACCTAGTTCATTCAATATTAAGTTGCAGTTTTAAGGTGTACTAAGTTGGTATAATAATACTTTGGCATTTCATTTCTGCCTATAAGGAATCCTGAAAGGGGAAAAATGTTCATTACTGGGAATCAATTAATTATTTAATTAATTCATTCATTCATTCATTTATTTATTTATTTATTTATTTATTTATTTTTAACACAGCGAGTTCTACCTGGCAAGGATCCGAGTGTGTGGCTGGTGGTGTTTGGAAGGTTGTAATACCTAATCTGAAATCCCTAAATCTTGCACTTGACAAATGCCATCTATGATATAGTAATTAAATAAAATAATTGAAACTAACCTTTTATCGAAAATTAAGGGGGAAGAAAAACGAATAAACGTTGTAATAAGTTTGAGGCAGACAAATTCAACAAATTAATTAGATTTTCACCTTGGTCATGGTCCTTGTGGCAAAATAGCTTCTAGTCTAACACTTTTAAAAATATTATGTAATGTTGTAATGTGGGCACTATGAAAGCGATGTCATGAAGTTTAATGCAACTCTGAGTTTCACATCTCTATGTAACCAGAAAGGCTAAAAATACTTCCTAGCACAGTGCCTTATTTGGTGTATGTAACACAATGAGTCACATTGAAGTATGCAGCTATGTACTGAATCATATTTACTCTCTGCTTAAAATATATGTGTAACATTTGGGTGGAAAATTGATGAAACAGCTACTGCAGGATACACACTCATTTATTTAGGTGTGCTTTGGTCTGACTTAAGGCCGTTGGCTGAATTGCTAAAGCTGGAAAGGTTGGCTTATTACATCCCCACCCCAATGTGGTTCCACTGCATTACATGCCATATCCAAACCAACCACAATTAAGGGAGTAGGTTAAAGATCTCACAAGTGCAGCACCTGTTAGCATCTAGATGTCCACACTTCTGTACATATGCGTTCTGCTTCGTTAGGTAATTAAATTAAATAACTCTTTTTAGTGTGGTTCCTTGTTCAGATATACTCATTGAGTGAGGAGGACTAGAAGGATCAGAATAAAGAAAGGCTCCTGGGATATACTGACTTTTAATCCCTAAAGTCAGGTACATACTAGATGAGTCTTGGGCAGTCCCAAATGTTGTGGCACCACATTGGTGGCCCTTTATAATCCCAGAAATTATATACGTAGCTATTTTAGCCGATACTGATCATTATTCATAGACTAAATAGTGGAATCATGTCTGTTTATCTACGTTTCATTGGACTCTTGATTATGCTCCATTGCCTACAAAGACATCCAGGAAATTTGGATAATGCGTGACCGGTCTGCTAGTAACCAACAGGAAACTGTATGAAATGAAATAAAAAATGTGAAAAAGGAAAACTGATTCTGACGAAGAAGAAACGTGTGTGTATAATTTGTTCTCCAACTAAAGAGGATGTAGAAAATAGAAAAGAAATAACAGCCGTGGTTCTTGGCCCTGATTCAATAACGGGCGCTATCATCATACAGTGTACTTGCATCAAAGTTGATGTCCATGTTTATTAGATTCGTGTTGCTCAGTGTAACTTGTGATGAACTTATAAGATTGCTGAAATCAGAGTGTGTAGACACCTTAATAAGAGTAGCTTATGTTGGATCCTGTAATTCCCATAATGCAATTGTTTCTTATGTTAGACTTTCTCTAGTTTGCAAATACCACTGATTTTCAAACTTAAGGGCTTGAGTTTATAATACAAGGGTTGTTGTAAACCAGCAGTCTTAAACCAAGGCTGAGATTACTCTACAATACAGGTCTGTTTATCCTGTAATTGTTAAGCTTAGGTACTAAACCTTTTTTTGCCATATGCAGTCATGTGAATACAGTGTGGCCTTTGATTTTAAGGTTTTTACAGCAAAACAAAAAGTCTCGTTAGATAAGAAACCTCATGTGAGTAAAACAACATTTTATACTATGCCATTATTTATTTAACAAAATAAGCCGAGGTTTAGAAGCTGTATGTGGGAAAACTAAGTAGAAATTCTTTTGTGGGGGTTAAGAGGGTAAGTAGCAGGCAGGTGCCACCAAGCAAATACAAATGTGATTCTTTGTTAAAAGAAGTTTTGGCAGTTTTGTGGTCTGGATCGTTCAGGTGTGTTAACACGTTGCTGAGGAGGAAAGACATCAGCTTTGAGCTTAGAGAAGCAGTTGATGCTGCCCTTCAATGCGAAAAGGGTTTTAAGGTCATTTCCAAACAACTTGAAGTCTACCATTCCACATGGAGAAAAGTTATTCACAACTGGAAAACATTCAAGTTGTCCATCTTCCCAGAAGTCAACATACCAGCCAATTCACCCTAAGGTCAGTGGTCAGAAAAACTAGGAGAAAAAACAAGCAAGCAACATGCATTTTAGCTTCTATAAGCCCCACTTAGCATGTTGAACATTAAAGTTTATGACATTACAATGAGAAAAAACAAGTATGACTTGTTGGAAAGAGGCTCTCAGGAGAAGGCCTCTTCTTTCTGAATAAGCAGACAGCAATGCAAAGGTTTGGAAAATTGCATCTGAACAAGCCACAAAACGTCTTTTGGTCTTATGACAAAGTCAAAGACCCTGGGCTGTTCACTTGCGTGCTCTAGAGTCAAATGTCAGACGATCAGCTGACAATCAAAGTTTGTCTGATACTGAGATAAGAAACAGAAGAATCATTGTACATTTTAAATGCTCAATGGGCTGAATGAAAAAGTGCTGCTTTGTAATGCACTAAAGAACCACTAAAAGTTCTGAAGAATTTTAAGAGGCAGATGTATGATTGAAACAGTGCTGGAACCCCCCCCCCCCAAAAAAAAAAAAAAAAAAAAAAAAAATCCAAAAAACAAAACAAAAAAACCCAAAAACCATCTGGCTCCAGCAAGTACAGATGGGAACCCTCTTAGTTCATCCATTATGAGTGTGGGACCAAATTTATCTCTCACATCAAATGCACACTAGCTTGAATGCTGTAGCTTAAATTGTGTTTTGGTTTCAGTTTTGCTTGCTAAACTTCTAAAGTTGGCTTACTGTGCGGCGAAAAATCAGGCATGTATGTGAAAGTGTTTGAAGATGGTTTTGTTGCTTATTTATGGATTACACTGGGATACAGAGATGGCAAGCGCCAAAAAAAAAAAAAAAAGAACTGGTCACATCACAAAGTAAATTTTCTGTCCTGAGTGTGTATTTTAATATGAACTAGGACATTTGGGCCACATCTGACCTGCTCACCGCTTACCAAAAACCAAGGCTGGATCAAGTCTGGCTGACACAATTGGAGTGCCAGAGCTGGGCAATAATTGCCAAAGGGAGGCCAACACTGTCTAACTGGGGAAACACTAATGTGATTAACAAGCCCGGGACTAACCCTACAATTCCTTTTAGTGATTTTTCTCTAATAAATGCTTGTACATTATTTGTAGCCTGTGGTTTTTTTGTTGTTTTGTTTATAACTAATTTTTTTCTGTAAGGCTTGTGCTGCAGTGTAATTACTAAAATGGCATTTGGCCATAATGTTCTCTTGTTTCACCATAAGCCACTGATTTAAATCTAATGTTGTCACTTGATTTTTTTTTTTCTACTTTGACCACAAAATTAGTCTTACTAATTACTTACATTACTTCCCTGTTAACTGTAATTAAATCAGGAAATTATGCAGAACATGGTGCGGTGCAATAGAGTGGCTAAGTGTATGTTTCATTGCAGTTGGTTTGTAAGTGCAAAATTCTGCTTTAGTTTTTTTTAAACACCTGATTTCAGTTTCTAGTTTAGCTTCAGGTAACAATACCCTTGGAATCTGATTTGGGTGATAAAGTCTTTCCAGTGGCTTTAACTTTCACTGTCTGGAGTTGAACTACCTTTAGTTAAACAACACCTGTGCTGAGGGCAAAGTTTAGATACTTTATTGTGGTAAAGTCAGTACTGCAAAGGCTTCCGCACAGAGTATCACTGCTGCCATGTTGTAACTGAAGAGCGTCCACACAGAGGTCCTGGTATTTATTCGTTTCACCATCAGCCCAGTGACGAGGATTAGCGTGTTCTTGAGTATCACAAGGTAGTATGTTCAAAAAATTAAGCTAAGTGTCTTTTGTGGTTAGCTGACTAGGTGACTTAAAACTAGCAGTTGTTAAGAAAGTATTCGAACCTTCTGCTTTATTGCAGACTCGGTAAGATTTTAAGTGTCCAAGAAAATTGTGCTGAGAAAAACACAGTGCTGTGGGTCCTGTGTGCTTTGGAAGGTGATAGGTGTGTTACATGTGCGTTGTTGTGCTAAAGTAAAGTTACTGTTTTGGAGCCTGTTGTTGTTGTTGTTGAATGTTTCTAATGTCTTCCAGTTGCTCCAGATACAAAGATGTGTGAAATGATAATAAATATAACTAATCTAATCTCAGTCTTGTGTAAGAAAAACTTGAGTAGACATGACTTGGGTCAGTGGTGCAGACATCAGGAGGTACAGGAGTTTAAATTCTTTTATTTGATTTTTTTAATTTTTCATGAACAGATATGAGACAACACTGTTAGGGGGCATTTGGTTCATTTCAGGTTTGCAAGTAACTAATTTACATCAAAAGTCAAATAATAAAATGGGCAGAATGTCCTGGTATTACACATCTATGCACACATCTATGCACAAGTAGTTGGTCAGGTGGTCGATCCCTGACTGCTCAGACACACACATTCCCCCTCTGTGCCTCCCCGCCTCTCTGCACAAATTAGTTAAATCACTGGACTCAAAAGCCTCAAAACAGTCAACCTGTTACTTATGTTAGTGCTGCGGTCCACATTCTGCATTTGTCCGGCGTGAATTTGTGCCTTTGTTCAAATGTTTTGGGCATACTTTTAAATCAGAGGTAAGGATCACTCTATATTTCTTTTATTTTGTTGTCTTTTTTGCATTGTGTATTCCTTTGCTGATAGTTGAGTTCACTTGTATGTACACTATCCAGCACTGCAGTCTGAATCTGTTTTTGCACTGTGATGAGCACGCTTCCAGGCCACAGAGCATCAGCCATGCACCTGCGTCTCACCACAGCAACCTCGTGTCATTTAGCTGCTTCTTGAATTTGCCTGCAGAATCCATGGCTGTAAACAGCAAATTCAGCATCAGTGTACGCGTGAGTCAGTGGCATCGTGCAGAAAAGATGTTTATGTTTGTACAGCATTGTCACGCTCTCTGACTGCAAGGAGTTTAAGGGGAGTTGCGGTCTGTTTACATGTGAACCTGAAGGTGTCACAGAAGCCGACAACCTATTTTCAAATCCCAGTGGGATACTGGGATTTAACCATATGGCATGTGCCAACCTTGTTTTCTCAGATTTGTTTTACATGGACATTTAAGGGCTTTTGGAAGGATTTCTTGGTCATTCATTTACCATGTTTTTCAGTTGCGGACAAAGTACCTTGGGATCAGTTTGTAGTAGTCTTCACCTACCACCTGTGCTGAGTCTGCTGCAATGAAACCTGCACTGCAGCTCATGATGAGATGGTTCTTATGCTAGGTGATGCATATACAGAATAGCTACTTCTGATAAGAGGATTGCTGGTTTCACCTGTTGAGATGACTACCTTTATCATTGTTGTTACCAATAACATTGGTAAATGCTTGTCCACGGTTTGACGAAAGTAGTCCCTCTGTAACCGCAAAGTGTAGGCTTGCTTGTGCTTTATGAGGCAGTTAAGCTAGGCTGTAACAGTTTGCTGTTGTGTGTCAGTGCTGTAATGTCTCACCACTGTTGAATGACTGCTTAGGACAGCAGTTATGTGTGAGATAAAAAAACAATTCACAACCTATTATGTTCCCTGCTGTTTTTGGTGATTGTCTGCAGAGATGCATGACCTAAACTCAGGTGTGTCATATGTTTCCTCTCCTGCCACGCCAGACTGTGACTGTGGTCCTTCTTTTTTTCCTCAGACCATCTGCTGGCAGTTTTGTCCATGTGGCAGCTGACATCTGCCCTCTTATGTGGGCCTGAGGCCTTACTAAGAAAACCCTCTTCTCTGACATGTTGTTTTTTTCCTGTCTCAAGAAAAAAGTTGTGTTCCCATTCCCCACTTGGCTCAAGGTTTTAGTTATGTAGCTTCCCGGCTTATTGGTGTGGATCAAAAAGTGGAGGCTTAATCCGCTCTGATGTAACCATCACAGGTCTGTAAAACTGCCTGACTTTTGGGGGGATTTATCACATTTCAAGGCTCAAAATATTGCAATACTTGGGAAACCATGTGTACATTTATTGCTTTTTAAGTAGAATTACATTTCTAAGGAGTTGTAGTCAAATACGCAGTGTGACAAAGTACCCATGTGCATATATCTCCCAGCCTCACAAATCTCTTATTAAATTTTTTCTTTTATTGGTCTTGTTGGCACAAACCAATATACTTGTTTTGTAACCGTGAGCACAAGAGGTTTCACTTACATGTCTTTAGTACCAGAATTGATGTTTTGCTTCATTCCTGTTTCCCTGCAGACACCGACCTCATGCCGAGATGAGAGGTATGTGTATGGTCGTGTGAGAATCATATGAACCAGCTTACGGGTCAAAGTTGGTTTTTCTTTTTTTTTTCCTGCAGAGAAATAACAGCATTCCTTTAGTTATCAGCAACTTTGAGGAGAAACGAGGACATGTTTTTAAAGATTAATTTATAAGTATTATAATGCTAGCTTTTTCAGCTGTACGGCTTAGTCATTTGGCAATGAGATAACACATTCCTACTCATATGGTAGCTCCAGTTTGCAGAATGAATCAGGAGTCAGTCAGATAAACTATTATTAGACCTTATAGATGTTCTCTAATTTTGTGTGTTGTAGAACAATAGTAGTTATGCTCAGTGTCTCTTTTTTAATATAATATAGCACCATTGTCGTTTGGAGTCTCACCTAAACTAATATTACACACAGCTGACTTCTGAACCGAAGTGTGCTTAAGTAAAACCCTTCAGGGTTTGAGTGCTGTTGGTGGACCAGAATAAGAGGTTTGCTCCTCTTATGAAACAAACATGCGTAAGAACCTAACAGTGAATTCAGCTGTGGTGTTTTGTTTTGTTTTTTAGTTTTCTTCATCTGTTCATCTCTTTGAGAGATTTCTAGATACACTTTAAAGTCAGGGTGAGACTTTAAAGCTGCCAGTGGTCAAAAGCTTTTAAAATGGGGATGGGAGCATCTGGTTTATGTTGCAGATGCACAGTTGGGTTGTAGCTTTCCCCTCCTTGGGGGCGCATAAATGGCACAATTCAGTGTTCCTGAAGTCCTCAGAGAAGGAAGAACAGCCTTAATATTCAACAGTTTTCATTTGGAGTATTGCCTTATACTGGTCATGTAAGCACATTGGGCATTTACCACTTTTATCTCAGAAGGTGCTAAAGAAAAGCCACCCAGCCTGGTGATTAAGCTACAAATATCCAGATGCAGCTAGGGCTGTTCGATATAACGATATGTATCGGATAACGATATAAAATCGTCTATCGTTTCATTTTACGCTATCGTTTGTTTTGTGGTGTTGTAAAATAAACTGTTTAGGGCAATATTTTTTTCATGGTTTTGATGGTCACTGTAGTGGCTATATTAATTTCCTAAAGTTCTCTCTTTGTCTTATTTTTAATATAACCACACTACAGATGGACAAGTGCCTGTTTTTTATGCGTTGTCATTAGCAACAACGACGGCAAAACCATCGCGTGTCCGCTGGTTTAGTTTCCACATTAACCTTTCACAATAAAGTTCAAGATCCTGTTGAGACTTTTCAAAATAAACGGAATCACGTGAAAGATGCAGAGTGTTTACGGATGAGAAGCAAAAAAGAGCTGCCAGGTGCTAAAAAATAAACCTTAGACTCAAACGTTAGAATAGGCTTTTCCCTGCAGCACATTGTGTAATAAATACTCACAAAGAAAACGGCGGGCGTTACAACTTACGTCTAAAAATGGATCGTTTCATGCATCGGTTAAAACACTCGACTCCAGGTACGCCGCCCAGCTGGAAACACTTCACTAAGTCAAGCTGCCCGAGATTCACAGAATTTACAGAAAATGTTACATTCTTGTGATTTATATCGTTATCGGGACGATAGATGTCTTAATATCGGGATATGAGATTTTGGTCATATCGCACAGCCCTAGATGCAGCCATGTTTTTCTTGGTTGTGTGTTTTTTTTTGTTGTTTTGTTTTTTTTTTGTTTGTTTTTTTAAAAGGTCAGGGCACATGATGGTGTTCTTGGCATGTTCTGATGTCAGATTTATTAACATTTATAGAAAAACAAAAATACATTTCCATCATATAGACTGAGTCAGATTTCAGACCATTTTCAGGTCAAGCCTAATATTGTACAGTGTAGTCAAAACGGGTAATTAATACAGGTGGTGCTAATATGTGCAGTTAGCCACGGAAAGCCATTTAGTGTTTACTAAGTTTTAATTGGTGATTATGGGTACTATAAATTACTGCGCTGATGCGTAATGATTTAATTTTCTTCCCTTGGCTAAGCTAAATTTCTGTCACCTTAGAGTTGATAGCCTTTCCCTTTCGGTCGTTTTGCTTCTGTTAGTGATCCCAGAGCTGAGAACATAAAAAACCCATTTCCTTTTCGCCGCTTCTCTGGTAAATGTCTCAGATTCACATTCGGTGAAACTACACTTCTTTCTTATTCTTTTTATTGCTGTGTCTGGCAATCACAAGAAGGTGCAAACATCAATGTTAACTAAAAACTATTAAATAAAAGAAGTTAACAGTGCATCCACTCTTTCTTGCACCATGCACGCACACACCATCTGAGAACAAGAATGCAAATGCACATTTCTGTCTTTGTGTGTGCTGTTTTAGTTGTGAGATTTATCCATTTGTCCTCAGGTGTAAAGATTAAATTTGGTCACCATCGTCCTCGGGGAATATGTATCACTCAAGATCTAATTCTGTTGCCTCGATGTGGCCTTGCTCTATTTTTGGACTTATTGTCTCACTATAATGGTTGTAGTTCCTTGGGCAAATTGGCCAGAGGTTGTGCTGGTTATCCACTAGAGGTTTACATTGACAAGGTAATTTCTTTCCCAAATTCTTAATATCTAAAGTATAAATATCTAAAGAAACAAGATCAAGTACAGATTATGCAGTAGTACAACGGTCTGGGTCACCTGCAGAAGGTACTGAGATGTTGCAGGTTACATTAGACTGTATATAAAAGATGGCCATCACTGTGATGTTATCCATTGGTTTGTAAAAGCTGAGTGTTTTTGCCATTGTCATGTTTTCTTTCTGAAACCAGATGTTATGAGCACTGAAACTGTGAGACTACAGGCTCACACTGCAGGCTGGCTTTGTGTCTCCTTCTGAAGACCAAAGTCTACAAAATGAATTTGTCTATGAATATCACTGAAATTTGAAAGCTCCCCCCATCGAGTCCATGAGCTGTTCTTTTGAAGCTTATATATAACTAATCTCCAGTTACCTTATTCTATGATCTCAGTAAACACATTTCTAGTACGTCGTTTGGCAAGGAAAGTCACTCCCTGCAGGTATTTGGGTTTAAGCCATTTTCAGCTGGGCTTTCCTTTTCAGACCCAGAAGATATGTCCATGAAGTCTGATTTTTCCATCCATCCTCCCATTGTTTACCACTTATCTGAATGATAGAGGCAATTTGCAGCAGCAGTCCAAGCAGAGAAGCCTAGACTTCCCTCATCCTGGCCACCTCTTCTTGCCCATCTGCCTAGATGGTGGGCCATCTGGAAGAGGTGGACAAACTCCACTGGCTCCTTTCCAGGTGGAGGACCAGCAGATCTAGCAACCCTGACCAGCAAACCTTAGAAGGAAAATAATTCTGCAGCTTGTATCCGGAACCTCATTCTCCCAGAGTTCATGATCATGGGTGAGGGTACAAACCCAGATTTACTGGTAAATCAAAAGGTTTTACACTCAGCTTTTTTTCCACCGCAACATATCAATATAGCTGCACCTATTAGTCTGTCACTCTCACACTCCATTCTGTCTTACTCATGAACTAGACCCCGAGATACTTAGGGCATCAACTTGTCCCAGACTATGATTGGACATTCCACTCTTTTCCACCTAAGAAACATAGTAGAGATATAGTTGTGCTAATTTTCATTACCGCTGCTTCACACTGGGCCATGAACCATTTCAGTGCAAGCTGAAGGTCAACAGCTGATGAAGCCAGCAGGACCAGGAAATCCTTAGGTCATCAAAGTGGAGACCCTCCACCATGTAGCTACGCCTAGATGTTGTTGAGCTTGTTACTGCAATAATGCTTCATCACCTTTTCTTTATGCGAAAGACTGATTCTCACTTCTCTGCCTCCCTTTTTTTTCAGGGTGCAAGTTTCAGAAGAGTTGTTACACCCCCATTTAATTACACCAAGACTGGGGGCCAAGCAGGCAAAGAAGTGTTTGGTGAGTGAAAAACTTACTGCAGTGTGCTGTGTAATCAGATTTCCCACAGATTCAGGTTCTGTGTGTGACTGTGTTGGGGATGTGGGGAAATGTGTCAGGGTTTTTCTTGGCTCAAAATTGCCTTGTGAACACGTAGTCTACATTTAGTTTAAGGCAAAGAGTCTGACTTACCTGTGCTGAAAGGCAGAGACCTGTTTGGTGGGTAACAAGTCTGTTTTTATTTTCCCCTCTGCAAATCATTCATACAACATACTTTCTGTGTTTGAGCTTAAACTGGTGTCGGTTGCTTCAGATCCTGTTAGTGGATCTAGCTCATAGTGGATCTACCGACCAGCTGCAGTACAAGACAGTGTTGGAGTTCATCCCAGCGTGGGACAATGTCCTCTCTGGGAAAGCAGCTGAATGATATCAAGGATTCCCACAACAGTAGCTTGGCTAGCAAGACAGCCTGTAGGGACAACATGACAGCTGGGGCTTTAAACACAAATTTAGAGGATTGTCTGATTGGTTCTGTTCTCTCAGACAGGAATAGATAGATTTCTAATATGAGTTGCCAAACAAGGTACATAGGCACCTGTTTATACACCTCAGCAGCCCACGGAAGTAAAGTGTGTGTGTGTGGGAAGCACTGGTGATAATAGGATTATTTTCTTAACATGTACTGAAACAACTGCGATTAAACAGTTCTGACCGCTCAGTGAAATCAATTTTATATTCAATTCATGTATATGTGAACATAAAAATTCCAGAGAGGAAAAAATATCCCTTAAAATTGATTTGTCTTGCTTACGTTTTACATTAGCTTTTGTAACACACAATTAAACTGTAGCACTCGATAGAGATTCTGTTGTTTCCAATAAAGGCCAAGCACAACAAAGACTCCAGTCAGGAAACATTGCAGGCTCTGTTGCTGCTGAGAGGGTGTGCTCTTAAAAATAGGTCTTGCTTTGCCCCAACCTATCTGCTGTTAGGTTCATAGGTCACTGCTGTCTCATGTTTATAAACACCGTCTTGCCGGCAGCGGCGAAGTATGCTTCTAACCACACTTAACTACTGCAACCTTGAGTCAGAACACCCTCATTCAAATTTCACACACCATTCATTCAAGAGCACACTGTGGTAAGTTGGCTTGATTTTAGTTTCAGAGTGAAGCTGGGATTAAGTAACTGAATTTTTTGTGGTTTTGAAATGTTTAACCACCTTTTGAAGGCGTTTGCTTGAATGCGGTTTAAATGTGTTTGTAGGGGTTTGGGTCTGTTTACTGTAATTGGTGCAAAGAGCAACAATTATGGTGTTCATTTAAAACAAAAAATGGCATTATATTGCAAAAGTCTGTAACACACTGATTCTGAACTCCATTATGAGCTAATAGTCTTTGGCTGATAAGTACTGATGCTGTCTGGACAGTGATTAAGGCAGTGATGAATGAATAGGGCTTTGATTTTATGTTGATTGGCTTCTTCTAGAATTTTCCTTTTGTTATAAATTTGAGTGGAAATATATTTGTATCAGAAGGCGTCACTGGTTGGGTGCATAGATTTAAAAGGCTTTTTTTGTTGTGGGTATGACTCCTGTGTTACGCATGTAAGGAGATAATTTTATCTTATAGGAAGGAAAACTATGCATCATCCTAAGATAAAATATTGTCATTGGATAGATTCTCCTTATACTCTTAACCAAGGAAAGTTTTTGTGCACAGATCTGTTTCCTTTCCTTTGAGTTTCTATTTTGATATTTCTTGCTGTTTTGTGGATATCCAAAAAGAAATCAATGCGGTTAAATTGTGATGTTCTTTGTTTGTGGTTCTCACACATGCCTACGGTGTGCAGTCTGTTGTTAGTAGCCTTGACAGCTGTGAGAAGGATCTATCATCTTCTTTGTCTACAACAGTATTTGTGGTCTGCACAACACAGATCTATTCCCTCATGATGTGCATGTTGTAAATCCTCTATAAACTTTACTAACAAGCTGAAGTGTGTGTGGAGGAGCGATTACACACATTTGTCTGGTCTCTTCTGTGTGCCATCGCACCATTATCCAGCAGTATTCCTCATATGACCTCTCTTTATTTCTCTCCACCCCTCCTCTCTCGCATCACCCACCCACGGGCTTCACGAGAGACCTTATGAGGATCATTTGACTGGAATGATACTGCTGCTTCAGGCATTTTAAAGTAGGGGGAAAACAAGCAATTTGTTACACAAATTTATGCTCCAGAAGGCTTTGTGATTCAGTCATTAGATCTGTTATTCTAAGCTGGAGGTAGCAGCTTTGAATCGCCTTTTTATCTGTGGTGTGCCAGCTTTTTATCTCGCATCTTTTTGTGTGTGTCTAACATTGTATGTGAACTTTTAAACTGGAGGATGTCAGTGTGTTATTGTGTTAGTAGGCCTGATATCGATCACAGATTTTAATGATCTCAGGATTGTGTAATCTGATACTAGTGGCTCGTGTTTGTATTATTTATTTACTTATTTTATATGGTGTTCCCGTATGTACCATAGACCAATACCATTTGGTTGTTTGCTTTTATTCTGGAAGATTTTATTATTCCTTGTTGCATTGCCACATTTTGAAAAAGATTGCAAGAAAGTATAGTTTCACTGTGAAACTGTGTCCGTTTTATTTGTTCTTACCTAAGGACAGACCATAATTAATGTGTGTTGTTTGTTGACTGTAACCAGTCTCATGGAGGTGATTTAATCATCGTCGACTGTTTAATCAAAGCTGCTATCCAAAGAAACAAATCAAGGGAAACGGTAACAGGAAACTAACTAAATAAGTTTTGTTTGCATATAAATACATATTTTGTAAAAGATGAATAAATCAAGATTCGGATCCTCACTGTGATTTTGTGACAATGAGGAAATATATCCTCACTGCAAAAAATAATATTCCAAATGAATAAGTATGATTTTATTTTTTTATTTTTTTTAACTTATGATCAAACATGTTGTGTAGCCACATAAATTAATACAAATTAAAACTCATTAGACTCAAAATTATATCAAGTATATTAAAATGGGTTTCAAGAAGTGAAATAACAACATTATTTTTAAAATGATTTTTACTGCACTACAAACTTATCATACGTTTCAAAGAACAAAGGAAAACAAACAGATGCAAAATACAATACACTTTTACAAGCTAAATAAAAGGCCTTTATTTGTTCTCGTAGATTGATTTGCTGATGCACTAATCAGCATAGTCTCAATGGTGCTGATTATCTTAAAAGAAAAGATTAATTGTGAAGTTTTACTTGGGACTAAAAAGGCTAGATTACACTTCCCCTTGTGTCCATGAGTTGATGTCCACATGTCTGCTTAGTTTGTGTGACCACGCAGACCCATCTATGGAGAATTTACCTTACAGTGTACCATAGAAGTATGCATTAGCTCCATGGGAGCCTGACGCTATAACAGGCAAGTACAACAGGAATCCAGGCTTTAGATCAGTTCAGTGCTTTTGTCACGGTCTTATTCTTTTACTTATTTATCCATTTATTTATTTATTGCAGGTGACGAGAATTGAGGGGACAATGAGAGTCCACATGCACACCAAGTTCTGTTTCCTGTGTGTGCTCACGTTCCTCTTTCATCAGTGCAGCCACTGCCATGAAGGAGGACACCACCATCAGCACGATGGGCATCACCACAATGATCATGACAGCGCTCACAGCGACCTGCAGATTTCTGAGGCTCCATACGTGAGAGGGGTCACAGAGTCCCCAGGGTCCAAGAGTGGGCACGCTGGGGATGCTCTTGAGGAGGAACAGCGCTTCTACATCCAGCAGCTTTTCAGGCGCTATGGCCAGGAAGACCGGCTAGATTTCAAGGGCTTTCAGAGTCTGTTGTTTAGCTTGGGATTGGGAGAAGTGAAGGTTGTAGGTTTGGATCATGAGGATCTGGGCCATGACCATGTAGCCCACCTCGAGGTGTTGGATATGCTGCACGGACATTCATCCACTAACGCTGGCCACAGCCACGGCCACGGCCAGGGCCACCGGCACAGTCACACCACACAGATGCGTCCACACCAAAAACAAGACTCTCAGCATCCACACACAGAAGGAGCTCCCACTCGGTGCAGCCAAACCACTGCTGGACCGGCAGAACACGAGCATGATCACGAGCATGATCATGATCATGATCACGATCACGATCACGATCACGAACATGAACATGAACATGAACATGATCATGACCATGACCATGAACATGATCACAATCATGATCACAATCACACTAAGGTAGAGGAGAATGACCATCAACATGACACACACGACTTTGGCGACCACAACAATCACACACATGATGAAGAGCACAAACACCAGCAGGTCAACCACAGGGACCTGTCTTCTCAGCCTCACCCTGATCACGACCACAGCAACCACAGTGATCATGAACATGACTACAATCATATTCATGAAGTGCACACAGACATAGGCGGCACTCACCTCGACCAGGAAAAGCTGGAGCCATCTCAGGTGCCCCAGAGGCTGCAGCCCACCCCGACAGAAAACCGACCCAAGAAACCCCGGAAACCGGGAAGAGTCAGAGGACAGCGAGGGCGAGACAAAACCACATCTTCTCACACACCTGCATCTGATGACCACGACCATGACAACACTCATGACCATAACCACACACATGGTCATAGCCACTCTCATAAAGATAAGAGGGAGGCACCGGGGGCACTTCCCGTGCCCACTCTGCCAGTCTCCATGCCAGCTGGTCATCCAGGTGGATTAACCCATCAGCATGAGGAGGTAAGATTATTTTTTATTTATTTATTTATTTTTTTTATTAAATGCACCTGTGGTGGTTTCCAATTTGCTTTTTTAACTTTTGTGATAGTTTTGCGTCATTCTGAGCTCCTCCGCTGTGTCAAACAAGTAGTTGAAGCTTCCTTTCCCCCATCTTTAACCCACTATTTTCTGATTGGTAGCCTGTGCCATTTTTTAATTTTTTTTATTTTATTGATCTGTTACTCCTGCAAACTCTAAAAATAACATCAAAGTCATACATTAATTGAGCCCATGGATCCAGCAGGATATTTGAATCTGGACTAGATTTTGATCTTCTTGGGAACATCAAAACAATTAACTGGTCAAATTTACATGTGACACTGTCCATAAAGTTTTAAGCAATCCTGTCAAAAAAAACAGACAGACAAACTAAAACTATTACATAAACCCCCTGATGAAGTTAAATATAGTGTTGGGAAATCTGAAAGCCTTGAAAACAGTCCACTTGTTTGTAATAAATGTGTATTTTTTCACAAAAGGACAAAAAACAAGAAGGATTAAATAAACAGACACAAGAAACCAGATTTTTATTTAAATGCTATTGTTCTAATAAGTTATCAGTGCTTAGTCGAGTGTTTGTTGTTGCACTACTGCTTAAGTTATTATATCGTGTTGGTTTTCTGTGTGTGGAATCTCTCTCAGCATTTTTAAACGATTGGTTGGCTTTCCTCGTGGATGTTTGGATCAGTCAGTACTGCCAAAGTGAAATTCCCTTAACATAAAATCTGTCTTTTGCTGCAGCTCACATTGTGTTTGAGTGAAATTTGACTTTACAAATAACAGAATCACTTCTTGTAATGTTTTTCAGTTTTGTCAGTGGTTCCCTGCGTTTATTTATATTTTCATGTTCTCACCTTCTCACTCCAGTGTTTGAACCTCACTCAGCTCCTCACCTACTACGGCCTCAATCCCGACTCGCTCATCTCCCCCCGCCAGTTTGCGTATCTGTGTCCCGCCTTGCTCTACCAAATAGACAGGCGGGTCTGCATCCTCCATTACGAGCAGATGGATGTGGAGCAGGAAGCCTTTGAGCCTGCCAGTTCTGGTAAGAGCAAACTCATTGATCTGCTCGGAAAAAAAAAACCACATAGCAAGGAGAAATATTAATTTTAATGAGTGTCAGCTGCTTAGTTCAGTCCACGGTGCTCATTTTATTTTCATTTCATTCTTTTGGATGACAAAATGCAGCTGAAGCCAGTGTTTTATCCTTGTTTTGGATACTTGGTGTGAGACCAGCAAGCTAAGCAGTCACGGAAGGTGGACTAAAAAGCATCTACTATTATGAAATTGGTGAGACACTGAATATGATGGTAAGAAATTGGAATGGAGGAAAAAGTCACAGTGAAACATTAAAAAATATGGTTAACAAAGCACACTGTAAGTCAGGGTTTTTGTCTGATGCCATCGGCCATAGGAAACTGCTTTCTTCATAAGTGTAAAACCACAGGGACTCCCATCATAAAACATTAATGTAATGCTGTCTTTACGTAACCTGGAGCTCCTCTCTTAGGGAAGAGTGGAAGATCTGCAAAATATATAATGTTTCTTTAAAATGGTTAAGCCGTATTTTATATTGAGACTTTTATTTCCTGGTACTGCCGCTATCTTTTACTGATTTTATTTTATTTTAATTTTCAGAGCCTGATAGCAAGGGGACAGGGCAATGTGTGCCAAACTGGACCCAAAACAGAGAGTTATAAATAAAAATGTTAAAAAAAAATATAAGAAACATTAAATATAAATGTTAAAATATTTAGTATAATATATAAAATACTTTAAAAAAGGAAAAGAACGTTTTTACTTCTAGCTAAACTGCTTTGAGCTGATTTGAATGCAACAGCAATACAAACAACCACTTGTTGCAATGCAGAAGAGCGTCTCTGCTCTGGTTTGACTCACAACACGGCAAACTGTGAAGCAGAAAGGTGACGGCAGCGGCAGAAGACCGTATGAGATGCCACTCCTGTCACATTGACAAGGTGGGACAAATGAAGCAGCCGGTGGGTGTATATAGCGTTTTTCTTAATCAATATTAAGACTAATCCGGAGTAGAGTTGATCACATTTAATTTATAATATACTTAACATTAAACTGGTGACGTCTTGCCTTCTTTACAGTCATTCATTTCATTTTGGCAACTTTGACAATTTGAAAAGTTTTAATTCAAATAAATAAATAAAACAGTTTTGTGTTTGTGCGCTCAAACGCGACTCCAAGATCGAGGTTTTGGAAATGAAAATGTGATTTTTGTGTAACTATACCTCTGCGGCATCCTTCTGCTGTGCAGAGCTGCAGAGGAGACACAGGAGAGCAGTTTGAGCAGTGACATTAGTTTAACAAAAAAGAAGAACTGAGTATTGGAAGCCAGAGCAGTCGTTGAAGAGTGCTTCTTATGCTCAAATTGCTTCATGTATTTACACAACATGAGTTTTATTTACAGCTGAAGGAAGGCGTAACATCAGTTCTCGCTAATAATGTAGACTTGGAGAAATTTGAGACTCGAGTCACTTAAAGCAGTGAGCGATGTCGTCATTGTGCAGGAGGCTTTTTCCTGCTTACTGCTAAACATGTACTTTGTTCTTTATATCAAACCTGCTGCAAGGTTGTCTCACACTAACCTTTGTTCAAGACGGAAATGTTCCTCTAAAACCACTCAAGACGTTTTTTATGGCGTCTGCTGCTGTAGGCATGACCCTGACCTCATGAGCTTCTGCTCAATGTGTAGTTTGTGGAACCACTGTGAATCTCATCTGTGGTTCAGGGCTTTTTTTTTTAATATAGTTAACTAAAGAAAAAGGAAAAAGTTTGGGAAATGTTTGAGTTAACTGAACTATAGATCAAGCATAGACTCCATGTAAACATGTATCTGTGGACGTCTTTAGTTTAAGTCTTCAACACACAGAGGGTGGCAGCTTTGGTGTGTTTACTGAGACTAGGAAATCTGTGACTTTGAGCGCTAAAAACTGAAATTGTAAACAAAGTGAAACTAAACTGACTTAAAAGTAGTGATTTTGTTTTAAACAGAAAAAAGAAAAATATGTGAAAAAACACAAAACTTTATAAGCAAGTTTACAGTTTTGTCTATATGAAAAGGCTGTCATAATTCAGCTGATTAGGATGGAGGTCATAGTGGAATCACCCATTAATGTGCTACAGTTGGCCTTCTTGCAGTCATCTTAATACAGGACATTTCTGGGCTATTCACACACCTAACTGCAGCACTCAGTCTGTGTTTGGAGCTTTCCATCTGTCTCTTCTCCTTATTAAATTATTTCAGTTGCCATGGCAGTGAACAAGTGGTCCTTTTTTGTCTTTTCTAAATAGAGCAAAGAAGGACCGTTTGTGTCCCTTTGAGTGCCCAACTACTTCTTTCTTTCAGTGAGCTTTCTTCTCTCAGTTTGTATTCTGATCACATCCTCCAATCAATAATATTCAAAAAAAGAAAATCTGAAAACCGAAAGAGGACAAAAGCGGAGCTATAAAGTCAGAAGGTCGGTATTAAGTCCTGCTGAGACCTTACAATGTTTCCAGGTTTATGGGAATGCAAATTATAAAATCATAGCGTTTAAAAGTTAATGAGTTACAGGTCGTGAAATAAAACTCGAAGCTATAAAACATTTCTTACAAATCAAAGGAGGAGCAGTAATCTCAGCTACTGCAAACCAAAAATACAAGACAGACTGCACATCTTTGGGTTTCTTTGAATTTACGCTTTACGGTACATTAATGTGTTTATATTGGTGGGCTCAGCATGTAAATCTCAGAATAGATTACACAAAGCCATCTGGAATTACAGTATTTTGTAAACTTGTGTAATAATCAGTCTAATCACGTTGTGGCAGTTAAAGGGGACCTTATGCTCGTTTCCAGCTCTGTATTTGTTTTCTTGGTTTCTGCTAGAGTAGCTTTGCATGATTCATGTTTAAAAATAATCTTTCTTTAACTTATAATGGGCCTCGGTGTAGCTCATCCTCTGTAAGTTCAGTGTGAGTTCATCTCCAGCCTCCCTTTAAGTTATTTCAGAGTGTCTGTCCTGTGCAAAGAGAAGGTATGAAGGGGGATAATAATGAGAAAAAAATCTCTAGATTAAAACACTAAATTTACAAGAAAAACATAAGGAAAAAAATGTAGGTATTCGATTTAGTCAAGGACTGATATCACGCCACTTTTCAAGGTTAGGCTGGAAAAAAATTCAGAACTTTAACCTCCAAGGATCAGAAACTCCTGAGAAGCAGCAGCAGCATCTCTTTGTAGTTGTGGTATTAAGTCAAACTATGAACTACAAGCTCATTCTTAATAAAACTAGTTGTCCTCAGACTTTGGCTAACAACAGGAACACAGCAAAGCTCAGCGTTTCTATAGAAATCACACCCACCTTCTTCCTTTACAGCGGCGTCCTGAAAGCTCAGACTTACTTGCTGTTTAGTGCAGCTCCAAAATGACCATTGGTGAACCTGTGGAAGGATTATTAACAGTTTACTCTGTCTGTCTCCGTGTTGGTCTCTTAAGACATGGTGTTCATCTCGGTCAAGTGTAGCTACTGCTGCATGGTGTTAAATTAAACAGTTGAAGATAGTTATTATTTGTGGAAAATAACTGTAGTTATGATTTCTGCTGTAATTGAGCAGCCGGAGTCTTTTGGCTTGGTGGGATTAGTCTATGGACTGACCTCATTATGTGAAACTTTGGCCAAGTCTAATATGAACATCCAGCATTATAATGGTTTGTGTATGACAGAAAATTAGGGAAAAGCATAATGAGTTCTGTCTCAGTTTGTGAGTTCTCATGTTTTGTGTGACCCCCGCTGTGTAAGTGTGTTTGTTTTTGTGTACATGCTGCAAATTAGACATCACAGTGACTTTGGGTCATAAGATTTACTTTTAATTAGAGGAGTGGCTTTTGTGACTGAAGACAGATTTACACTTGATAGGTTTACAGCGGGGACAGAATTAGACGAAAGGGACTGAAGTTCAGCTGTGAGGTTGGAGAAATTCCCAAAGTGCCTTAATTGTTAAGCACACACTTCCTCCTGGAGAAACCTGTGCCATACGGGCTTCAGGCCAAAGTGTGCCGCCCCTGAAAACATTAATAATAATAATTTTTTAAAACCGTAACGATGACGAGGAGGACTGCACAAACAAGTCAAAAGGGCAGCAACGGCTCCTCATTAGTGCAAAACTAGAGGCGCTAGATTTTCAGAAATGGTGCACCAAGATTCAACCATAGACGTCACCACAAGCTGCAGAGCTGCCTCTCATTTACCTCCTGCCGGCATCCGCGGGGGAGCTCGGAAAATTTGCAGTTCACTTCTTTCTGGTCCCCACTCCCCTCTTTTTTTTTTTTTTTTTTTTTTTTTTTGCGCCGTGCCAATTAGGAGAGCCTAAGCGACACCGGGGGCCATTTTTCTGAGCCGTGGCTCACAGGAGATGCGTAATTGGAGAGAAGTTGGTCTCTTTCGTTCTCTCCTCTGTTCCCTTATCACCGCCTTTAAATTGCCCTGCTGCAACCCCCTGCCCACCTCCATGTCTACGCCTAAGCACACACACATACATACACCCGCCCACACAACCACAGCTGCATAAAGGTAATGAGATAGAGAGGGAGATGAGCTGTGTGAGTGTGAAGGACCTGCGGTGATGTGGCGATGGACTGTCAGGCTGATGTACAGTTGCCTCTCAGGGTTACACATTGTTCCGCATGATAGCAACAAATAGAAAAGCATTCATCTGTAAAACTTCACTTATACAATGTACATTGAAAATGGTGGTTATAATAAAAACAATAAGGTGAGTGTTAGTGAAGAGATTTGAATACAGATTGACTGTTTTGTCTCACGATGAGCCGCTCTTTGTAATGTGTGGATTCAGTAAAGCGGCTCTGAAGAGACTAATAGCTGTAGTCTGCTGCTTCAAGAGGTAGAGCGCTCTTATAAACATGTTGTCTGAGCTGTGAATAACTCTTATAATTCTACTGTCACGCTTCTAAAACTGCTGGCAACAAACAATCAGGGTTTGGCCATCAATCTCACCGTTGTGATTATAAAGGCAAGGCAAGTTTATTTGCATAGCACAATTCAACAACAAGGTGATTCAAAGTGCTTTACAGAGACTAATAAAGAGGGTTTCTTATTAGTAACAATTATACAGTTACTAATACCTAAAATGCCCCAAAATACCAGGATGATGCACAGACTGATTCTTAAATCCCAAAGGTCCACTTTTGGCTAGCATCGTGATGCTGCTAGCATCGTGATGCTGCTAGCATCGTGATGCTGCTAGCATCGTGATGCTGCTAGCATCGTGACATTTCTGCAGATACGTAAAAAAATAAATAAAATAAAACAGCATTTCAGGGGTTGAAAATACAAGCTGATGTTTGAAGCATCCTCGGGGCAGGAATGAGATGAATTTATATTTAAAAAAAAATTTATTTTAATTATTTTATTTAGTGGGCTTCTGCAAAGCTGTGCCCATTTTTAAATAGAAGCATTCTTTCTTTTCACTCCTACGTATGGGTTGGCACAGGTGCAGATGGCAGGATCGTCCTGTGATATTAAGAGAGAAGGAAGGAGGGGGCGACAAGCTCGACTCGATTCTGTTTGTGACTGCCTTCATCAAACTAAAGTCCACTTCAGCAGGGAAAAGTCCTCCACCTTCAGAAAACTCCAGGGTTCGGAGGTGTCTTGATATTCAGCGTCGCTCTCTGGTTTTCTGTCAAATCGCTGAGCAGCTTCTGCCTCAAGGGGCTTTCACGCAGGACGTGGCTTGTGCTGCGCTCGCTGCCGGGTTCAGCATACTGTTTGAGTGAGCTGCAGACGACAGAGCAAAGAGTGCTGACTTTTCAAAGGTTCTCGTGGGAGTAGAGCGCGTAAAATGTTCTGCAGAAACGCAGCGCATCCTTTTCTCTTTAACTGAACGAAGAAGCTCTAATAGATCCATGACGACGCTGGAAGGGATACACAACAAATATGAGCTGTGCTGACACAACACCGACCTACAACAAGTCACGTGACTCTTAAAACTTGTTTGTATGATTACCTGAAATTAGCGTTTCCTTCCTGTTTTACTAAGCCCGCTACTGGCTTGATGCTTCACTGCTTCTTTGCAGCAGCGATCTGCACAGGACTGAGTTTGAAGTTTAACATACGAAGGAGAAATAACTTCTTTGTTGTACTCTGATCACTGATAGTTGCCTAAAAACAGGCTTTCCCATCATTCTTACCATAAAGTAGGATTAAAAATACATATGTAGTGACTCATACTAGGACGCAAACACTTTGCTTTGGTCCAAGAGAACCGTTAAAGCTATGAATTAAACATTTTTGGCTTTGTTGTTCAAGGATATTTTCTTTTGGGGAGGAAGCAAAGTAGAAAAGAATTGTAGAAAACATAAAAAAATTTTATATATTCATATGCATATATACATGTTATGATTCATGAATAAACCACTGAGGCCTTGGTGAATCTCGGCAGTGCAGATCAGTCAGATGCTCCCTGGCTGGTATCCTTTGGGTGCGCCAGATGCATTTTGTGGTATTTTTGTGTGCTGACTCACGGCCTGCAGTGTGAGGAAACATGGCGAGCCCAGGAGCGATCATATGTTATAAGTGGGCGTGTTAGAAGCCTTCGTCATTCACGCCCTTTTGCCAGTTTGAGAGGAAATATTTTGATGTCAGGATTATTTCGAATTAAAGGCAAGATTTAGTTATTTCTGTTCACTTTTCTGAACACGTTGGAGTCAAAGTTTTTAAAGGGGACCTTTAGTAGCTTGAGTAGCTTTACATGATCACCATCCACAAACAAAATCATCTTTATTTATCTTAAACTGGGTCTTTGTTCAGCTCTTTAGTTTAGTCTGTATCTCAAACAAGGCTTTTTTTTTTCTTTCTCTCTTTTTTTTAAGCCAGATTTCATCCAATTGGCTGCCTTGTACAAACAGAAGATTTAAATGGAAGGTGGGCGGGCTTTCAGTTCACACCCAGAGCCTTGTGGCCAAGATGAATATATCTGTGAAGACTTTAATAAAATGTCAAAATGAAGCATTTTCCAGTAGTCTGAAGTCCTGTAGGCACGAGTTAATTGAACAAACTAAAAGATGACGCTGCGTGGTGTTACACAAAGTACTGTATGGGAACACAGTGAACAGGGAGAGCCGAGGGAAGGAGCCAGCGAGAGGAGAACCTTTTAATTGATGTTGGTGAACTGTATCCAACATGCCCGTCATTACGGGGTATAAACTGCAGAGAGTAATGTTGGGAGGTTTATGAGGATTTTAGCCCAAGTCGGTCTAATTAATGAGGGAATAAAAAAACATCAGCACAATGTCGTGCACGTTACAGCCTGAATCCAAATGGCTCAAAGAGTCTCAGTGCTCAGCTTTGGCCTGTGCTCTGAATTCACTCCACTGTCAAAGGGGCGTCAGCAAGTAAATCCATTGCACACAGATCCTCAGTCAAATACTGACTTTTTTCATGGCTTCAGAGGAAAAGAGTAGCTTCCCAAAAGCTAATTACGAGCATCCGACACACCACTTGTACACAATACTTTCCCCAGGAGGATCTCCAGCCTCCTGTTTCTGAGTAGTGAGCCTGGCGCTTGGGGAGAGATGTCTTTGGTAGTGTTTTTTTTTTTTTTTTTTTTTTAAATCCCACAGCTGTGTAATGGTACAGTAACAGCTTGATTCAGCCTCTTTAAAGACCACTCCGTCAGGTGTAAGACATGTTTCTGATCATGTCTTCAAAAGCTCCGCCACCTGGGGCCGAATAGAAGAGGAGAGAAGGTCTGCCTGTCGGGTTTTCCTGCTGGCTCTGTGTCACCTGTGATACGGCTGTATGCATGACTGAAGCTCCACCAAAACCTAAAGAGTTTGTCATATGGAAAACAGTTTGGAGAAAACTTGTTTGGCCTCACAAACAGCTGCTACATCGAACTATAGTTAACAAAAAAGTCTCTGAAATGTGTTGTTTGTGTTTCGTGTCATGGTTCTCAAATAGCCTCCCTGAAGTCAATTGTCTGTAATATGTGCATTACATGCACTAAGTGTTTCAGTCAATAGATGTCCTTTAGGTGAATGTCAGCAGTGAAGGACCAGCATCGCTTTAGAGAGCACGGACCAGCTTTGGTGCGACATGGAATTTCATACCACATTAAACACTTTGTCGTGTTTGACGACAAAACTTTTTCTCGCTTCTGAGACCGTCCTGGCCTGACAGCTCGACTGACAGTTTAAATGATAGTGTACCTTTCTCACTTTTTCTCTGGCGCTTCACGTCTCTTGACTCTGGCCTTGAATGAAAAATGAGGCGAGAAGAATTCTGCTGAAATGTCACCTCGTGTTTTTTGCTTTAGGCATCGTGTGTCATCACAAGGACACATGGATTTAAAACCTCTGGAGGATGCTTTCCTTCATGTGTGAACAATGTGGGGGAAAACACCTGCAGCCAGGAGCCATGTGATGATAAAGCTGCAGCTGATGGTGTCGTCTCTCGTTGTTTGACTGGAAACGGGAGAAAGCGTTTATTTTGTACCTTTTTCTAAAATAAAAAGTCCTCACCAAACAAATGGGAAAAAATAAGCTGTCCGATAAATAATACTCATATTTTATCATTTAATTTATTGTGTTTATTTTTCCTCCTCCAGTGTGGGTCTGGATTTGGGGATTTGTGTCCATCACCATCATCAGCCTGCTGTCTCTGCTGGGGGTCGTACTCGTGCCCATCCTCAAGCAATCGTGCTTCAAGTTCCTGCTCACCTTTCTGGTAGCGTTGGCAGTGGGCACGCTCAGTGGTGACGCTCTCCTTCACCTGCTGCCTCACGTAAGTACAAAAGACAGACGGCAGCTTCTAAACACAGGAATAATGTCTTTGTGGTGCCTTAGCGGAAACTTCATTAAGTCCCCTGTGCAATCGATGGAAGTGGGTTAAAGTGGTAACAGAAATGACCTTTTTGTGACAAAGAGCCTAAAACTACAAGCACAACTTGCTCCGTCAGTGGAAATGAATCGAACCAGAACAGTGGCTTCATGTTTCTTCATTTTTAAATACTGAACCACAAACGACTTCCATTCACATCCATTGTGATATTTGATACCTGAGTTTTTGTGAGTTGTGACACCTCCAGATCATCAGTGTGTTTTTGGGTTTTTTTTGGTCCCCCAAAAACTAAATTGCTTGCTCCATATAAAAAATACTGATATAGTTTGTTCATGGTTCGGGCTTCGTTGAGTTAATTTTAACACGTTGATGTTATCGCTGTGAAATGGTAACAGACATTTAATGAAGTCAAAGAAAAGAGAAATTCTTTATATTAAACGTTATTAGAATAGAATTAAAAACCCTTTGAGTAAAATCAAAATTATCTTGAGAATTTATTGCAAATGTTATGTCACCTTTGACCTGACGCGAGACTTGACAGCCTTAACATCTATGTAGAAAAGGAAATCAGCAACTGTTAACTCTGTGTTAAATGTGTAACTTGTATACTGTGGAGAATTATAGCATCTGTTTTTGTACAACAGTGTCACATTTGTGTTTGTGTGTTTATGTCGATGACATGAAAACGTCAGTTCCACTGAACAGTTTTTGTATCTGTTTCCTCTTAGTGAGTCCAGGTTACGCTGCTCTGATGAATGTGTGAATGTCATGTGTCACTCAGTCAACTGTTGCTCCTCTTCCTGTCTTCAGTCTCAAGGGCAGCACGATCACAGCAAACATGGTGCCGACCAGGAAGAAGATATGGTAACAGCTTTTGATGGAGTGTGGAAGGGGCTTACAGCCTTGGCCGGCATCTACCTCCTCTTCATCATCGAACACTGTATTGGCATGTTTAAGCACTACAAAGACCAGAGGGTGAGTTACCTTGATCCAGCTGCAGGTGATGGAGTGGGCCGTTATCAGACGCCAAACCTCTGTTTCTGCCTTAGGTTTTGTCTTTTGTTCAAACTCTTTTGAAGCAACACAGTGTAAGAAATGTGTATAAATATATATATAATGAGCATTGTTGCTCACAGGGCATGAAGAAGGTGAATGAGGAGGGCAAGATTGGCAGGAAGTTGTCAGATCATAAGTTAAATCGGCGCTCGGATGCAGAGTGGCTCCACCTTAAGCCGCTCAATGAAGGTTAGTGTTTGTTCGTGAATCTTTACAGCAGGTCCCGAGCTCTAGCTCCTTTGGTCCTCCCGTTAACATTTCCTCCCTCTGCCAGACCCTGACAGCACAGCTGTCTCCTGCGACAACAGCCACAACGACACGCAGCTCACAGAGCTCCAGACGCCCGACTCTCCCACCAACAAGACGCCGCTGGCACCCGCAAACCTCAGTCAGTCCCCCACCAAGGAGAATGGACGTAAAACCAAGAAGCACTCGCACGGACACGGTCACTCTCATGGAGGAAACTGCCACTCGGATCAGGAGATGAAGGACGCTGGGATAGCCAGCATTGCCTGGATGGTCATCATGGGAGACGGCATGCACAATTTCAGCGATGGCCTCGCCATAGGTACCACGATTTTGTAACTCACCAGTATACAGGATTTAAATCCAGTGGCACTGAAAGCAGAGACTGAAATACCAGCAGTTTTCCAAATGATGCCCATTAGATGAGGAAAGCAGTGAGGACTATGCTGGAATGCAGTCCGGTTGGGCATGACATCACTCCCAGCTCCCATATCTGTCTCTCGAGCTTTTAGTTTTAGAGTTTATAAAAGCTTGAGCTTTTAGATCTGAGATCACTTTTAAATAGATGAAATTCTTTACTTTAGTCATTTAATATTAACATCCAGTCATGTAACGGCACATGTCTGACAGAAAATAAGGCCTAATGGGTCTATGTTAAGTCTGAAGTCTGGAAACACGGTGCTGTTGGTCTCCCGCAGAACAGTTTTTGCTTTTGTTTTTTTTTTTTTATATACCAAGCTTGAAGCTTGAACCAGCAGTCTTTTGGCAGAAGATTAATATTTAACTGGTAGATGCACAGCAGTCTGTAGTTTCCTCTAATGGTCTGTTTCTTTCTCTTTTCTCTGACACTTTGAACTCTACAGGCGCTGCGTTCAGTGCAAACCTGACAGGTGGCATCAGCACATCAGTGGCTGTTTTCTGCCACGAATTACCTCATGAACTCGGTACGTGCACTAAGACACTGTGAAGGGGGGATAAAATAAATAAAACTGTCAAAAGCAACTCATTTACTCATTACACACAAGACACTGCACGCTTCATTTATTCAACAAGTGGAACAAAGCTGTTTTGTGGAGGCTTTGGTTCCCGTAATGATAATCAGCGTCTAAATCACCGCCTCGTGCTGAAAAGCTCTCGTCTTACTTGAACTGAAACTTGAATCAGAGCGAGTCTCGCGACCCTCCGTCCCTTGAAACTTGTTAAGAAACCAGTGGCGTCAATAATCAGCGCTGTGCTCTTCACTCCAGAAAAATGCTGGGTTTTTTTGTAAATTAATGGCTTTCACACGACGGCACTGAGATGATTCGCCAATATCTGTCAGAGCAGATGATATACTGAGCCTGGCACACGCTGTTCAATACAGCTGCCGGTGCTCTCGTTTGCATTCAGCTATCCTCCTCTGAGGAGCCGTGTGATTCACTGTGATTCAGCAGCAGTGAACAGCTTTGTTCAGGCATGCTTGTTTTGTTTTTTTTTGTAAATAACGCCGCAGTGCTCTCCTCTGCCGGTTTGTTTATAGAGAGAGGAAGAGGATGGGGCAAAGAAGACAGACAATCGGCCCGTCCACAGCAGATCAGTACTGATGATGTGTCTCATTGTGCTGCAGCTTCATTGCCTCGTTTGTGTTCTTGATGAATAGACTAGTGTCAATTACCGCTGCGTGTGAACTGGTGAATAATAACCTAGGTTTGTCTGGCTGCCCCCTCCCCTTGTGGTGATCAAGAGCACCCTGTTCTCTTATTGTTGTGTTTTAGAGGGAAAATGAGTAAAGGAGAAGAAACAGGCTTTTGAGTCTGTAATATTAAAGCGCTTAGCAGAAAGTACCAGTTAATGACCGTCTGCAAAAATAAAAAAATCAGCATATATATCTATCTATCTCTATATCTAGAGAGATAGAGATCTATCTATAGATATCTATATATATATAAAGAACACATTTTTAAAAATCCTTTCTCTATTTTAAGTTTCCAGATGGCTAACTGCTGCAGCACCGTCTCGAGCGGTATGTGGAGATATGCGAGCTCGGTCCCTTTGTCCCCGCGTAATTTCACATTTCCTGTTGATTCGGTGCCCGTTTCTTCAGCAGCGCTCGCTGTCGTGCCTTCACCCCCGTCGGGCAGCTTGTCAGACAAACGCAGCAGTTTGACAAGTGCACCTCTCAGCTCCTCCTCAACACAAAGACTGTCCCCCGACTGGCAGCTGGATGGAAAAGATGATGATTATAAGGGTTCTTTAACCACCCAGAGTGAAACTAATTGGCAGTGATGGGTGTGTTAATTGCGGTAGATGAGGCGGCAGCAGGCGTGTCTGAGTGTCTGACGGTTTGGAACGGGGGGGGAAGTAGGAAAAGTTGAAGAGGGGGGCTGACAAAAAAAAATGCCAGTGAAGCGAGGTGTGCGTGGACCGTCTCTGTTAAGTTCTCTCCTCTTTTCTCCGGGGTTGATTGATGGATGAGAGCAGAGTGGTAATATATTCATTGTGGTAATTAGCGAGGAAAAGAGGCCGCTTGTTACACGGCGCAGGAAATGTAGGCCACCCCCCTTCTCAGTATTCATCTCTCTCTCCAAATCCAGGGCGTTTCCGCTGAGACTCGGGCCTCTTCTCGCATTTGGCCCCGGCGATGATTGAAGACGGTAGAGAGGCTACTGCATGCATATGTAATCATAAGTATATGAAGTGCGGCTCTGGTTTTTTTTTCCCCACCTATGTGAAGACAAAGTGGTGGTGGTGGTGGTGGATGCGTGTGGGAAGGTTTGTTTAGAACAAGCTCACCTCATCACTGAGGCGAAGTGAGTCATGGAATAAACCGGAAAAATAAATAAAACTACATGAAGTGAGCCTCGCTGCTCACCGAGGAGTTCGTACTCCACAAAGAGCATGTCACTCTTCAGACGGTAAACAGAAGTCAGACATACAGCTGTCATTCTGCTTTTACCTCACACACACTGTGTGTGTGTGTGTGTGTGTGTGTTGTTTAAACGAGTGTGTCTTCTGGCCAACAGGTGACTTTGCGGTGCTGCTGAAAGCCGGGATGTCGGTGAAGCAGGCTATTGTCTACAATCTGCTGTCCGCCCTCATGGCCTACGTTGGCATGCTGATTGGCACCGCGGTGGGCCAGTACACGCACAGTGTCACCAACTGGATCTTCGCCATCACAGCTGGCATGTTCCTTTATGTGGCTCTGGTGGATATGGTGAGTTGGCTGAGCGCGCTCCACAGCCCCAGAGTGATAATTGTCCCCCGACTCCGTCTCCTCTCCCACACACGGGCAGTCGCTCGTATTCTCGTTGCCTCCTGATCTGCAATGCTAATCCCAGAAAGTCTGAGTCTTATCCCAACTGGTTACTTTGTCTCTTTTATAGCTGCCAGAAATGCTTCACGGGGACAGTGAGGACCACAAGCGGTGCCAGCTGGGACACTTTATCCTGCAGAACCTGGGCATGCTGACTGGGTTCGCCATCATGCTGCTCATCGCCATCTTCGAAGACCGCATTGTTTTCGATTTTGGCTTCTAGTGGAGGACAGAGGAAGCAGAAGGAGGGGAGAGCTGGATGTATCAGTGTTGTTCTTGGCCTTAACTTGCTCTGTTTGCAATGTAACGGCCCGGTCTTGCATGCAACGTGTCTCGTTCATGGCCTGTGCCTCCATTCCAAACATGCTGCGGTAGCTTATGCATATCTCATGACTCTGGTAGTGGTGTTTATACTCTGCTCCTCCATCACTTCTCCTCCGTCAGTTCCAATCTGTCTGCTCCCCGTGAAACATAAAGAGGCAGAGTGACGGAGGAGCAAAGCTATGCCCCAACCAGGATACACCTCCTCTGTTCTGAACGTTTAAAAGAATAAAATAATGTAGATAGTGAGGTGGTGCAGGGCGTGTGTTCATACAGAGAGGCAGCTGTCACGGCTCAGCAGCTCGCCGCCTATCCATCATCACCTGTTAGTGTGTTGTCGTCGTACACCTCCCCGTGTCCTCGTCTCTCATCCCCTCTGTGCTGTGTCCTGTCAGCTGTGCCGCGTACATCTGTGGTGTGTGTTTCACCTGCCATCCATCGTCGCTGTCTTATGTGATCACGTCGTGTATCAAACGCCGTCGTGCCAAGCCCCGGCCACTGGAGCAGCTCCACAGCTGCATCGCACAGTGCCCTAAAAGCGACGCCCGGCCCGGCCCCACCTGGCTGCTACATGTGGAATAAACTATTTTAGCTGGTGTTGCTTCACCTGCAAAACACGCTGACAGTTAAGCTGCAGTATCAAATCAGCTGTTTGTGTGTAGGAGATTGTCTTAATTACTCAGATTTTATTTTTGCTGCCATTAACTTTAGTTTTGCCCTTAGAATTATGTTTTACCGCCTAATTTTTTTAAGACTACTAAACCTTTGTAGTTTGTAGTAGCCCTTTTCAGACATGGGATAGGTAACAAGTGAGAGTATTCTGTAATTCAAACATAGGTTTCTTCTTCTTCAGTGCTTTGAATAGTTATGTTATAATTGAGACAAAAACTGTTTTTAGAGATTTTTAATGTTTTTACTGCTGCTGGTGGGATGTAACATGACGCCACCGTCACAACGTGGCTGTTTTCCACCAGCAAGCATCAGACCGCCAACCCAAATGTTTCTTAGTGGGAGTAGATGCAAATACACGCAAAGCCAATGTGACTAAAGTCATCAAAATATGTCTGTATGGAGCGCATCTAAAAACTAAATTGGGAACATTCAGATCCTGTAAATGAAAGTTGTTGTTTTTTTTTAAAGCGTGTCTGAAAAGGGTTACTGACAGCTGCTGCTAACAGCTGCCAAAGCCTTTACACACTAGCATTTACAGTAATCAGTGTTTTCTTTTTGTCTACTTTGGGAACCAAATGCTGCAAACGTCCAGCCAACTTTGTTCTGTAAGGGTCTAACTATCTCCAGCTAAATGAGAACGTTTCTTACTTAGGCCTCTTTGAGAGTCACAGACTTCAAAATGTGAATTAAACTTATTTTTATCTTCATAACAAGTGTTGTAGTTTACTCGATTTTATTTAGGGTGCCTCTTTGAGTTCATGAAAGGTGCTTTGTCCCATTGGACCAAACTGGTCTGTAGTTATGGTAGGAGGTTCAGTTGTCTCATCTTCACTGATGAGACATACATCTGTAAATACATGAGGTCTGTCTAGCGTCACTTGTTGTGCAGCTAAAAGTTGAAGCTAAAAATTCTTCCTGCTAAAAGTGTTGTTTGAAGAATGAGTTCCTGACAATCTGTGACAGATGACGCAAAGAGCAGTACACTCCAGCGCTTCTAACATCCCAGCACTTCTAGTAATCGATTAACTAGGTTATCGATCCACAGCACAAAGGTTATTTAATGGGAGTATTTTTCCAACCATGTGTAGTCACTGTGCTGGCTGTGCCCAAACCTGCCACAGTGTGGATTTTCAGCGGCTGGTGCTTGACGCCACCCATCATCCCGCCCACCCCGACATTCCATTGGCTGCTCTGTGGCTCACATGCTAAAGCTACCAATCCTAGCTTCAGCTGCTGGAGCACGCAGACTTCAGTTATCCTGTCACTGTGTGACATCCATCGTCTGTCTTAACTGGCTGTAAATCGTCGTGAGTCTCACTGATCTGACTGAATCATGAGTGAAGCGGTACAGACGTGTTGGGTGTTTTTATTCTTTGTACTGCAAGAGTAAAAACGGTGAAAACTTTTGTTCCTTTTTAATTAAATGAACTGTGTGAAGATCATGGGAGGTTGTCCAGGGTGTATTGTGACGGTGTTACAAGCCTTTTTTTTTTTTTTTTTTAATTATTATTATTTTGAAGCAGATTATGTCGTGACCACAGTCGTCTTATTATCTGCACGGTTATTCTTTGTACAAGTGTTTTATTATTTCATCTTATGTTCACATGGAATTTTAGTGCAATGGGACCTGAATGTATTTTAATTCAGAATCAAATGAAGCTTATTATTTCCCCCTTTTTAAAATATAAGTTTACATCTATTTGATTGTTTTCCTCCAATATTGACTGTTTTATTTTTATTTTTTTAAATAAGTTAAACATTTACCGCCCTGTCGAGTGCTCAGTAAGACTTTGTGACACATCGCCCAAAGTTTCCTCACTGTTTCTCAGGCAGAAAGACCATGATCATATTTGCTTTGCTCTGTGTATATTTGTTTAGTGACCTGGATATAAAATGCAAAGTGTGATATCCTTGCTTTTTGCCTGTCTGTACATTCTCCCCTACGGAAGGAAAATAAACTCTGGAAACGTCGTGGACTCCTGATCTTTGATGGTTCTGCCATAATCTTGCCCCTCGGTGCCTGTCTCTTATATTTACCACAACAAATTCACCGGTGATTGGCAGATGTAGTCTACAGACCTTCTATCCACCACAGTTTCCTTCTTACATATATCACCTGAACATCTGCTCGAGCTAATGCGTAATAATTGCTTGTTAAACCCGTCAAACTGCGCTCTGGCTCACATTTATCCACACCAGCACAAATTGGCGAAAGAGAGCTGAGAAACCCTGTTGGCAGCACTCCTGCCAATCCTCCCCTCACTTCATCTGCTGAAGCTGGTTTGTAAATGAGTGACCCGGAAGATGGATCTATGAAGAAACCAAACAGACTGTGCAGCTGAGTCAGTGCCCTGCTCATTAGAAAAGCTGTGATTTTATTCCAGGGTTCGCATGTACCTGTCAGATGCTGCTATTGAACACTGTGTCAGGTATCTGGATCAGGACTATTGGGGCTAAGAATCCTATAAGGAGTTGAGATCAGGAGGTTTGAGGGGTGACAGTGAAGTAAATTAAGGTTAAACAAGTATGAGAGTGCAGCTTTTGTCTCTATGGTGGATTTGTTGGTTTTCACTGGTCAAGTTTCGGTGTTAAGAAACGACTTTTTGACGTTCAGTGTTATTACAGTTTTCAATTTTCAATTCAATTTTAGTTACACAGCGCCAAATCACAACGGTCGCCTCAAGACACTTCATATTGTAAAGTAAACCCTAGCATAATACTTGCAGAGAAAACCCAACAGTATCACTCATGAGCAAGAACTTTGGCGACTGTGGGAAGAAAGAACTTCCTTTTAACAGTAAGAAACCTCCGGCAGAACCAGGCTGAGTTTAGTTTTTATTCTGTTAGATCACTGTCAGACTTTGTAATGATTATGATATTGTGTGGAGGGCATATGTCTTCTTGGTCTTGTAGACACTCAAAGCCTCAAGAAATGTGTCCATCAGTCCCTCATCAGCAAGTTTTAATGTTTTAACTGGTACTAAAACCAAATGTATTACCTCCATATTTTAAGTCATTTTAGTTTTCCAAGTTCACAAAACAAGTTAACTACTGTTTATTTTTGATATCTGGTTGTAGTTTTATTTAACTATAATAAGCTTGGTTACGGTGGCACGGTGGTTAGCACTGTTGCCGCACAGCAAGAAGGTCCTGAGTTCAATTCCTCCATCAGGCCGGGGTCTTTCTGTGTGGAGTTTGCATGTTCTCCCTGTGTTTGCGTGGGTTCTCTCCGGGTACTCCGGCTTCCTCCCACCGTCCAAAGACATGCAGCTTGTGGGGATAGGTTAATTGAATAATCCAAATTGCCACTAGGTATGAATGTGCGAGTGAATGTGAGTGTGAATGGTTGTCTGTCCCTGTGTGTTAGCCCTGCGACAGACTGGCGACCTGTCCAGGGTGTACCCCGCCTTTCGCCCTATGACAGCTGGGATAGGCTCCAGCGCCCCCCGCGACCCTGAAAAGGATAAGCGGAAGCGAATGGATGGAAGCTTGGTTACGTTTAGGAGAAGATTGTGGTTTGTGTTATTATCCAGTGCAGCGTGAAGAGGTCCTTTACAGGAGCTCGACCAGCCTCACTGATGTCGTCCAGCTGATGCATCGTGGCACTGACATTGTGTACGACACGTGCTCTTGTGTGTTTTGTGGATGATTATTGGTGTCATTTTTTGGTGTTGCAGGTTTGTAACATTCTGAAAAAAAGCCCAGAGAGCCTGCGTCGGTTTCTGTTCCCGATTTTTTTTTTTTTTTTTTAATCACACGTCAGAGTGTAAAACAAATCCAGACGTAAGCCAAAGCTGAGACTACGAGCTGAGCTGGCAGAGTAGAGCGACCCCTCTTCTGATCCAGTGCTCCGCAGGAACGTTGGAGTTGAGTGTCATGGCGATGACATAATTGGTGGAGTGTCCAGTGGTGGACAGGGTGCCACGTCGCTCGCTCGTCTTGTAGACGGGCGCCAGATAACACATCCTCTCAGGAATGTCGCCTCGCTTCATGGGCTTCAACCACATCTGACAGAGAGAAGCACAGAGTGTTACAGAGGGGACGGGATGGGGTGGTCGCACCTCAAAGTGTTGGGGTGTGATCTGTTTAGAGTTTGGAAAGCAGCCGTGGTTGTGTAGAGGTTGTTTTCCTTTCATAAGATTTGACTGGTGGAATAATTCAGCTGGCTTTGGGGGTTTGCTTCGCCTCCACTGATGACACACAAAAGGAAACAGCCCTGATTGCAGGATAAATGCACTGTGATGGGCGTGGGTGTCTTCAAAGGGGTTCAGAGGTCAGGATGGAGCGATAAGCATTCGCTGCAGTGGAAACTAACCTGGCTCTCGATTTGTTATCCAAACATTAACTTACAAATTGGAACTTTGGGGACATAAACTTATAAAACAATAGCATTAACAAGCAAGAGCTCCCTTGGGCTATTAAGAAGTCTTGGTTATGCAAAAGGGATAAACTGGGCCACTCCAAAAAACATCTTTAAAAACCCAAAAAACAAAAACTGTTTGTAGACTTGCAGCCTGAAAAACTGCTCATCTGGTTCCATAACGGGCGCCTCAGCGAAGATTTGCATTTCAAAGGCAGGCGCGGCAGCCTCTGTTGTGCTGCTTTTTTCTCTCCCCACAAATAATAAACACATTTTTAATTAAGTTCCGCTCTTGTCAAGAACTGATTCTGTTAATAACTTGCCCTGAACTGTCTGAATATTAAAAAAAGTCAGTCTCGTGCATAATTCATAGGCGCTGACTGCATTGTGAAGAAGAGAGAATGGAAAAGATTCAAACCGTAAGGAAAACTTGATCAGTGGCTGCTCTGAGCCACCGGCTCTTACTTCCATCACTCTGCTTTCATATGCCACAGCATGCCCTGCTAATTAATAAAAGGATGGGAAGGAGACAAGTGTCCTGCAGGCAGAATGTAAAATAGTGCTGAGGCTGCAGCCGAGTCCAGAGAACATCCTCCTGGGTGAAGCAGCAGCTACACCCGCAGCGGCTGCTGCTCGCTTCCTTTGCAGTATTTGTCCCTTCTTAAGTAAAAGCTGTCGCACTGGGGTTTACGAGCAACGCAACAATTAAAAACTTTTTCTTTCTGATGGCCAGAGGGATTCACACAAGCACAATCAATAAACCTCCTCCCTGCAAACTTTATGTAAGAATTTGTTATGCAACACGGCTTTTTGGGGCCTTTTTGGACCAGGTGCCTGCAGTGTTTTGCTATCAGCTCCACAAATTCATTTAACAGTGCCCACAATGAGCTTTCAAATCCACAAGCTGTAATATAAAGTATAAACCAACACGCTTCTCTCTACGTGTTTCTGCATGGGGCCTCACCAGGAAGGCATTCATAAGCCAGTTTCACACACGCGCTGTAGCGTTTACCTTCCAACCGAGGCCTTTCAAATCCAGTCATTTCAAAGTTTTGTGGGGTTTTTTCCTACTGAATTATCAGCTGGTTACAAATAATGCCTTTTTCCTCTTATTCTGCCATACACATCATGATTTTTTGCCTTGACACTGGTGCTTAAATCTGGAATAGAAAATAGTGCTGAGTGAAAACTAAATGATGCCTTTAGGCTGTGACATCAGGAAACAGTTTTTAAACAGCTCAATCTGTTTATCAGCCCTGAAAAACTCCATAAGGATGCGCTTTACTTGTGAGGGCTCACAACAGCTGCAAAAAATTCAATAAAAAGCACAAAATTATTAGAAATAAAAGGTGAGGACCAACATGAAGGCAATGCCGATTGCTCACCACAGGCATGGAGTCGTGCAGCACTTTGGGATAGGACTCAGCAAGACGTTTGGTCTTTCTGTCCCAGCGCGCCCCATCAAGGAACAGACCTCTGATGTACACACCTGACACAAACACACACAATTCATTCTTGCTGTGATATTAAAACCTTACCTTCTACAAACTGCAGATTTGGACAAACACATTTCTACATGAATTAAGCTGAACTGACCTCTGCTTGTTTGCAGAGTGCAGCAGGCTCTTCCTCTAATAGGCTGGAAAAGGGGGCATGACTTAGAGATAACTAGATGTTGGCACCCCTACAGTATGACACACCCAAATGCACAAACACACTGTCAGATTTGTAGCTTGGCAGTATAGCTTGTGTTAGCTTGGTGGGGGCCCAGCAGGGAGCTGATTGAGGATGAGACTTTATGTGAGACTTTGACTGAGAATCTCACAGCGGAGCTGGAGGCACAGCGAGGGGCTGATGCAGGCCCGCGTGTAAGAGAGAGGCAGGGATGCTTTACTTTAACTTACTTTCTCGCTTTATACTTTGCTTCTCTCGTATTCAGTCAGCCTTGTGTCACTTTCATCTGTTTGTTTCTTCTCCTACACCCACCACTTGTGTTCCTCTCATTTCGCTCTCTGCTTTGAAACCTCATTTTGAATTCCCCTCTTTCATCTCTCAGATTCCTTCCTACTACAAGTGCTCTCCATCTTCCCCGTATCTTTTATTTACCCTCATTTAATGAGAGGGGCCTTTAGAAAACCTGTCCTAATACCCTGCTTACACTATTAACCCAAGGCCACGCTCCCTCATCCTATCTGCTGTTTTCTTTCTCCTAGCAGCATCCTACCGTCCGCTGGAGGCTGATTGTACTGTCTGTCATCCAGGACCTCGAAGTCAAAGCCCAGCAAATCGATAGGGATGGTGTGCTTCCTGGCGTAGTTCTGCTGGCTGCCTGTGAGAAAGGCTTGGGTGAAGAAGAATCCTGATATCCAAAATACAGCAGGCGCGCCCTTGTCGTACCAGTCCTGAACACACACAGAGGAAAAGAAGACATTTAGAGTCAAAACAGTCAGTGAGGAAAAGCAAGTCAAAAAATAAATGCACAGAAGAACAAGAAAGTCCATGTCAACATTACACACTGCAGGTAACTAAAGTACAATATGTTTAATATTATGTTGAGCTGCTAATTTAACCTGTGATAATTCCTGACTTATACAAACAAAAGGAATTACAG